TGGTCGAAAAGTGAAATTCTGACAATCGAGTTGTAGATTCCGTCTTCTTTTGAACTACATGGGAGAAAGCGGCATTGACAAGCGGGTCGAATTCGTCCTGCGGAGGATCTTCACCGTTTTTGGGTATGTCAAAATGTGGTGGATTGCCGACTTCCGTTTAACCTTGCACTTCATTCTCCACAGAGTTAGAGTATATATTGCACTCACCCTGTTTGGCGGGTTCGGAATATATGTTCGCTTTCCTCAGCTGCTGAGCTCGGGAGTTTCCTCACTAGCTATAGTAGTGTACAGAAACCAACAAGAAATTTCATCAGAAGTTTATATTGTCATCAACACATGTGAATGACCATCTGCATATTTTCCCATACTGCTGTTTGATATTTGCTATCAGATACTCCAAATTCGACAAGTTTAAATCGGCGATCCTCAGCGTTAAGGAGGAGTCCCCTCTTAGGGCGATTGAAATTTTCCTTGACGACCCTGAGGTGAATACAGCTCATTTAGGCGACCTGTGTATTACTCGTTGTCAGCGACCGGTCGTCTTTGCTTATCAAGGCTCTGGTGAGAGTCTTATTGCTTCGTGCGATTGTCCAGCATCGGTAGCTCAAATCAAGAAGAAGGTGCTGGTGATCTGTAGGGCAAAGGTGAGCGGTATATTAACGGACCTGATTGGTATCATACACAATCGACCTGAGGATTCTCATCTCACACTGATTTTGCGCTTCGTAATAGATTTCAGCAGTGATTAAAATGACTGCAAATCTTCGCTGTGCGCGCGATACTCGTCAGACTGGAGGATCCCTTGTGAGGTGCTCCTTGTTGTGTTTAGGCCGGAGTGGAGATCTCCATGGACAACATAGTGGAGGCCATCCTTGTGCAGGAGCTGTCTAAGAAGCTACTTGAGAATATGAACCTCCTGCTGAATGGCGCGTAAGATCTTGAGTATCATATTAGACCTAGGGCATAGCGGCCCCGTACAGTGAATAGACTTTTGAATTTTGTAGTTGGCATATCGGTCCCATTCGGCGGCAATTGATGGCATATCCGCCCCGTTAGATAACTAGGGTTTTGAAGGGTATAGCAAGCATATCATCCCCATTCGGTAAATAGGTTTTCAAATGGTATAGCAGGCATAGCGGCCCCATTCGGTAAATAGGTTTCTGAAAGGTATAGCAGGCATAGCGGCCCCATTCGGTGAATAGGTTTTTAAATGGTATAACAGGCATAGCGGCCCCATTCGGTGAATAGGTTTTTAAATGGTATAGCAGGCATAGCGGCCCCATTCGGTAAATAGGTTTTTGAAGGGTATAGCAGGCATAGCGGCCCCATTCGGTGAATAGGTTTTTAAATGGTATAACAGGCATAGCGGCCCCATTCGATAAATAGGTTTTTGAAGGGTATAGCAGGCATAGCGGCCCCATTCGGTGAATAGGTTTTTAAATGGTATAACAGGCATAGCGGCCCCATTCGGTGAATAGATTTTTAAATGGTATAACAGGCATAGCGGCCCCATTCGGTAAACAGGCTTTTATAAGGTATATCAGGCATAGCGGCCCCATAGGACTTTTGAGTGGTATAACGGGCACATCGTCCCCATCTGGTGGATCGATTTCTGGACGGTATAGCGGGCATAGTGGCCCCAATCGATACTACCGATTCGGTAGATACACTCTTGAATAATATTTCGGGCTTGTTTGGTCGAAATGAATGGCATTGTGGCCTCAATAAATGGCATAGCGGCCCCAATAAATGGCATAGCGGCCCCAACAAATGGCATAGCGGCCCCAATAAATGGCATAGCGGCCCCAACAAATGGCATAGCGGCCCGAATAAATGGCATAGCGGCCCCGTTCGCTCTCCACCCACCATCTCATTCCACTACTGAGTTGATCGAATACCACTCCATCACCAAATTCGCCACATCGTGTCTCCCCCCTATACTTATATGATGAGGCTAGTCTTATAAGCTGCTAATACGTTTCTCTGTATATGGTTATGTTCGCATGCTTATACTTCAGTAAATAGAGAGAATATAAGAACGATCTAACTACCACTAGCAAGAGCTCGTCGAGAGCTTTGAAATGGTACCTGATATATGACGAAGGGCGGAGTTTCCATGTGTATAAGTTCAATTGGGTACATATATACAGTATTAGTATACTCATACATCACTAGCAGGGCCTTCACTCTAAGCTAGTTTTGTAAATATTACCATTGTGCATACTGGTGGGACGAAAGTCATATGTAAAGAGCCCGCGCCAGGAATCGAACTTCCGTTCATTCGTCACCGTATAGTGATTATCATCAGTTAAACATCACAGTGGAGATGCATTCGAACAGGTACGCCTCAACTCTGTCGAATCCTCTGAATCAACGAAGTTGGTCTGATATGGTCTCAAAAGATCTTTTGGGAAAGTTCCATACTTTTCTATCAACACTGCATGTCACTTACGGTCTTATGGAAGGAAGGACGGTAAATTAAGTTCATTTTTGAAAATTTTCGGAAAATAATTTTCGATAGGTGCTGCCGCTACCAGCTAAGGAGTCTATGCAGCCGGCGCCGCCTTCAGACGATCCTGGTGGGCAAGAATCGGTAGATTATATGCTAATTATGGTTATGTCCATACCATCTTTTTCACAGATCGCGAAAGATAGAGTTCATGCTCTTGAGGGCTCTCTCATCACGTGGACAAAACAAGTGAAACACGTGTTGAAACAGCAGCCTGAAGACGCGCTGAGAGATCCTACTAAGAATCCGGAACCGCTGGTTGAAGTGCAGTTTTGGAGAGTCAAGGCGAACAACCTCAACTCGGTAGTATATCAGGTTGAGAAAGAAAAAATTGCGGTCGCGCTGGTAGCATAAATTTTAAAGTGCGGTTCCTGACGTTTTCTTGATAACGAAAACTTCGCCTTTGATTTCGTACTCGATCTTTATCAATTCGAAATCATAATTAGGTTCACGACCAGTTAGGAGCAAAAGAACTGCAGAGAGTCATTGATATCTTGGATGAAAACAGAAGCACATATGTGGGGCCGTTTCGAAGGCTACAATCGGAAGTCCAAAGGGCTCGAGACGAGGCGAATGATAATGTCAAGTTTCTGTCGTCGCTGACTAAGTACTTTGAGAAGTTGAGCAGCGATGGTATGGACTTTGCCGAATTGGAGAAGTTGTTCGATCCGATCCTACATACGATTTTACTCATCTGGAAACATTCAGGATACTATAACACGCCCGGAAGGCTTGTCGTACTAGTGAGGTAGTACGTTGGGAAATATAACTTCTGAAAACATGAGGAAAATTGAATTTTGGGAATACCTAAATTTTGGTATGAAAATTAAAGTCCTGGATTTTACTTGAAATTTTTACGTAAAATTTCGCGGTATTTTACGAGAAATTTTCATTTTTTTAGGCAAATTTGCAACAGTATAATCCTACAAGCCTGTCGGTTCATCAACGGTCCGCAAGTGTTCGCTATGGTCAGCAATGAGGAGGCGAACGAAGCTGTGGAAAAATTGGAAAAAACTCTGAATTTTTGCACCGCTTTTCGCGATAAGTACTTTTTTTACAAAAAAGTTGCTGATGGTCGGTGTGGCGAGGAAAACGGTTGGCGAATTCAGCCGCGAGCTCTTTTCGTGAGGCTAGATGCGTTTCGGGCGAGATGTCGCGATATACTAGAATTCACCAGGACTATTGTGCAGTTTTTCAAACTGGAGAGAGTTGAAATCGGCGGCACCAAGGGAGGTCAACTGACAGCATCAATTCAGCAGATTTTCGAGGAGTTCAAACACACAGTTGAAGTTTTCCAAAGTGTCACTTATGATATTATGGATGTTGGTGCGCGCGGCTTCGATAATGATTTTTATATTTTCCGATCGTCGGTGAGAAATCTCGATCAACGGTTGGGTTCGATATTAGGAAATGCATTTGAAGATCTTGATGCGATTCCTGGACGTTTGAAATTGTTCGATGCATTTGAGGGCCTTCTAGAGAGGACCATCTTACTTGACGAGCTCACAAAGCGATTTAGTAAATTGTTGGCGCAGTATCATGAGGATCTGAACGAAGTGCAGAGGATATATACGGAATATAAAGTGAAAATAATTTCGGCGACCGACGATGCGCCGCTATATGAAAATGTGAGAAATGGGATTTTTTTGTGAGAAAAATTGGAAATATATGGGAATTTTTCGATGAAATTTATGTTTATGAAGTTGTTTTTTTCAAGTCGCAATTTTTGAATGTCCTTAGTAGGACGGATTTTAATTTTTTGTTTTTTTTCGGGGAAATATTAGATATCTTCCATGAAAATTGGGGGAAAAATATTTCATTTTTTTTATTTTTGAAGAACATATTATTAGCAGTTTTAATTCGGTGAGTGATCGATCGAATTATTTCCCGATTTTTCACAGTGTTCCCCGTAAAATGGGTGATATTATATGGGCCCGAGGGCACGACTTTATATACGTGTAATTCTCGGCCAACGTGATGAGGGCGACTTCATACACAGCGTGAAATTGGAAAAATGAATTTTAACAAATATTTCGATGTGACCCAACATCTAGGGATGACTTTAGAGCACTGCGAGTGGCGCTAAGAATTGTCGCCGAGTAAACTGGCTCAACGAGTTGATATCAATTTTTTCATAGTGATTTTACGTAAAATGTGGTGATATTGTACGGTAAAAACACGTTACGAAGTGAAATTCTTATAGTATCTCGCGATTTTTGAATATATTTTTTATATTATGGCTGAAATTTCATCATCATAAATTTTTGCAAATAAATTTCGTAGGTAAATCTACACACAGACTTGAAAGGTTACTCGAATAAAATACAAAAATTTCAGTTGTAGATTTTTATGAATATCTGTTCTCAAAACAACACGTGTGAATTCTCTATTATAGTCGTCTTAATAGTTTTTCGAAAAAAAATCTCCTCATTTTCAGATGCCTCCCGTTGCTGGAGCCATTTACTGGGCGCGATCACTCCGTGACAGAGTGGCTGGGCCTATGCCGAAAATTCGATTCTATAGTAAAATGGTCAAGGAGAAACCCGAAAATTTCAAGGAAGTATATAGGTTGCATTCGACTCTTTGCAAAACGTTGGACGAGTTCGAGGAGCAGATGTAGGTGAAGCGGTTTTGGGATATTTTGTTTTCCGGGAAAAAATTGGGAATTTTTTTCTGTGTAGGATTTGGCTTTAGTGATCTCGTTGGAGAAATATATGTTTGCTTTCCTCAGCTGCTGAGCTCGGCGAAGTTTCCTCACTAATTATAGAGTTTTCATAGTTGACCATGTGAATATTTTCTCTCACGAAAATCACTTTACCATCACATTTGTCAGGTTCGAAGCCTGGGAGTCTGATTGTGTCGAGCCGGCTAAGGGCAAACTGAAGATGCGTTTGCTAAGGCGGTTGGAAAAAACCGGGACATTAAAAGTCAATTTCGATCCCCAACTCGTTCGCCTTTTACGAGAAGTGCGATATTTCCTTCTATTCGGTTTGGAGGTGCCTGAGGCTGCACTGGAGATGTATCAGCACGCAGACACATTCCGGGAGTGGACAGGGCGACTGGATGTAGTAGTGCAGAAATATAACTCAGTTTTAACGGAGCTATTACCGGTAGAAGAGCCTATGTTTGCTGATAGAATTCAAAAAATGGATACAACGTTATCACCGGGCTTAGTGGATTTGCGATGGAATAGTGCAGAAAAAATTCCGGATTTTATTACTCACGCTGAAGTCGTGGTTGGCGATGTTGCTGCGGTTGTTGATGTAGTGAAGATTAATTTGCGAAAAATATCTACGCTACTTGCGAGGTGGTGTGAAGGGCCTCTATTGGAGAGGAAAGCGAAGCCTATGTCGGCTGAAGATTTCGATAGCATTCATAAGGCGTCGGTTGGGGTGAAGTTACATATGATGACTGAGGACGGCAAGGAAATACACAAGCTGGTTAAAGACAGCTCAGAAGCTCTCAAGATTTCGAAAACTGCCGAAACGTGGAGAAGTTATGTTGATTTCGTGAATAATATAGTCATTGAAGGCTTGGTGTCGTCGATCGCGGTATCATTGCAATACTTATGCGAAATTTTGGATCCTCTTATTATCGCGAAAAACGAAATGCAACCACTTTTTGATGTGAAAATAGAACTACAAGATTCGGAGGTTGTTTTTGAGCCCGCGTTTACGCGGAGTGAAAAATTCCACGGCTCGCTGTGTTTAAGAGGCGTCATCGACGGATGGGTTAAAGACTTTTTCGCGGTTGGTACGGTATTGCCAAGATTGGATACAGGTAGTAATAATGGAGTTTCACGACCGTGATATGAATATCATATTTTACGACTATTGCATATCACCGCGAATATCGCACGTAAAAACTCTAGCAATGGAGGAGAAAATATGTTGCTGTATGAAATTTGGTGAAAAAAAATAATTTTTTGATGATTGGTGGGAAAAGTAGCGAAAAAATGAATTCAACTACTGGGAAAATTCAGAAAATATTTATAAGGGAAATTTTTCGATAGTAAAATTTTCCCGCTAATTGTGTATCAAGTCATTATATGTAGTTTACGTATTTTTGTGAAAATATTCATTTTTTTTTCTGATAGTGAAATCAATTTCTAATAATTTTAGTTTTTGTTAATTTCAAATTTTCCGGAAAATAATCGCATTATGAAGTGTTTGGAAATCACTAGAAAATTTTAATATTAATGGAGTTTCACCCTAGTGATATGAAAAATATATTTCACGACTACTGCATATCGCCGCGAATATCGCGTTTTTCACCGAGTTCACGTAAAACGGGTGATTTAACTCCTATGATAGTAATAATTGGTTTCGTCGGGAATTTTGAGAGGAAAATAGTATTTTTCTTATCTACCCTCAGGAACTGGAGACTACCTGAACGAGCTGAAAGAGCATTTCCAAATGCAGTGTTTGTTGGCTTTGGTTAGCGAACTCATTGATAATACGGAATTGAAATGTCTAGAATATAGGCAGAAATTTTTGGAGCACTCATTTTTGTGGTTGGACTCCATTGAGGAATCTTTTGGGAATTTCCTGGCCGACGGAGCGAAGCAATTGGTGGAGAATTTTGAAGAGGAAGGGGTAGTAAATGTTGGAAAAATGGTATGAAAATTTTTGGTGGAATTTTTATGTGAAGTTTTATAATAATGCACATGGTGACAGCGGAGAAAAATTTATTGAGGAAATTTTCAACGAAATTTGTGAGTTTTATGAATAGTGAAAACATTTTCTGGTCTGTGCTCAGTGGAGTATTACGTGAAGTGGCGTAAAACTCGTCGATATTCGCGGTGATATGTAGTAGTCGTAAAATATGTTCTCACTAGTGTTTTTGAGTGTGTTGATGAACATGACTTGAATGAAATGTTGAAATTATGGTATTGATAAGTATGCGTGTTGGCGATAATAAGAAATTCTGAGAAAATTTCTGGCAGAAATGGTAGGGCAAGTGGGAAAATTATTGAACTCAGCTGAGGAAAGCTAAATTTCATACCAATACTTACGGTAAATATTTTTTTGCGTTTTTCTGGTGACAATATGAATTTTTTTTCATTAATTTTCGTAATTAGTGAGGAAATTTCGGGAAATATTTTGTATTTTTCTGTCAGGTTTCGTTCAATGAGATTATGAAGATGATTGGCGTCGACTTGGGAATGCCAATTCCGCCCATGGAAAAATTCGACGCGGCTGTTACGAAATTCCGACATATGAAAGAAACTATAAGCAATTTGAAAACGCCCGTGGATATTCATTGGTTGCGGGTGAATATTCAGCCGGTGAAAATTCACTTGGTGCAGTTTACGGGGAAATGGGAATTGACGTATACAACTTTTTTGAAAGAATTTTGTGAAGGAAGAATTGCATCCTTATGCGAATTTATACATAAAGTTGACGATGGTTTGACACAGAATAGCCCAGCTGACGATCCAGAGAATGAGAATTTGCTATATGCGACCATGACGCACATAAGGGATGTGAAATTGGCGATGGAGGCGATAAAGTTGTTGTTCAATCCTATTCGAGAACAAGTTATTACTCTGAAGAGACATGGAGTAGTTTTACAGGAAGAAAAATTGCAGGAGTTAGATTTGGCACCAGCGCGGTGGGAAGAAGTGGTCCGAGCTGCGTTCGATGAGAAGGAAAAGATTTTACCTTTGCAAAGTGCGGAAATGTTGAAAATTCGGCGAAAAATTGATGAATTTGCGGGCGAAGTGGCGCAGTATAGGAGTAAATTCCTAAGGGAGTGTCCATTTGATGCGGAGAATACTTATGAGGAAGCCTATGAAAAATTGGATAGGTATTATGAAGAAACTATGGCAATGGTCGAGAGGGCAAAAGAGTAAGTAAACGGGAAAAATTTTGGAGAAATTTTGAGATTTTTTTGGGGAAAAATCGCAATTTTTGAGAATTTTGGTTTGGAAATTCATTATTACTTATATATATTAGCATTGGAGTTCTACGTGAAGTGGCGTAATACTCTGTGAAAAACGCGATATTCGCGGTGATATGCAGTAGTCGTGAAATACATATTTCTCACTAGTGTTTTTCATATCACGGTCTCGAAATTCCATCATAGGGATATTGATAGTTGTAGAAAATCTTCGCTGTGCGTAAAGATACGTTGTAGAAAATCTTTGCTGTGCGTAAAGATATGTTGTAGAAAATCTTCGCTGTGCGTAAAGATACGTTGTCGTAGAAAATCTTCGCTGTGCGTGATTTCAGTTATAACAATTTGGAGCTTTTGTTTGATATGGCGATGAGTGGGTACCGCGAATTGAAAGATTCCCAGGAGGATTTGGTATTGTTGAAAAATTTATGGGATGCGATTGCGATGGTGAACTATACTTTTGAGGATTGGAATAGCACGCTATGGGATAGGATCAATACGGATGATTTATTGATGCGGGTGAAGGAGCTTGGCGCCCAGGTGAAAGCCATGCCTAAGGAAATGCGCGGTTGGAAATTGTATGCGTGGTTACAAGATATTGTTAAAAATATGTCGACGGTATTGCCGTTGATTAGCGATTTGCATTCTGATACTATGCGAGATCGGCATTGGAATCAGCTGATGGACGTCACGAAAACTACATTTACGAAAGGGCCGGAGTTTTGTTTTAAAGATTTGCTGGATTTAGAATTATATAAATTTGGTGATGATGTTAGCGAAATTGTGGACCAAAGCGTGAAGGAGTCGAAAATAGAGAAAAAATTGGTGACAATTCGATCGACATGGACGAAGTTGACTTTGGAATTTGATCGCACTCGAGAGGACTGCCCGTTGCTGAAGGATCTGGGAGAAGTTGTGGAAATTTTGGAGGCGCATTCGTTGGAAATGATGGGGATGGTCTCGCAGGGCAGATTTATAGAGTTTTGTCAAGGAGTAGTGGACGAGTGGAGTAAGTTGGGGAAAAATATGAGAATTTTCGTAAAATTTGGGGAAAATATGAAAATTTTGGTAAAATTTGGGAAAATATGAAAATTTTCGTAAAATCTGGGAAAAGTATGATTATTTTCGTGAAATTTAGGGAAAATATGATAATTTCCGTAAAATTTGTGAAAAAAATGAGAATTTTCGTAAAATTTGGGAAAAATATGTGTTTTTTGTATTTTTTTCAGGAAAATTCATGGAAAGAAAATTGAGTTTACGGAAAAAATGAAAAAAAATTTCCCATATTGTCACCAAAATGAGTGTATGTGTGAGTATTTCGAATTGAATACTACTTTTGTTCAGAATTATGGTTTTTAATATTTTTGATTTTATAAATTTTCCCAAATTTTGCGATGAAATATTTCCGGGAAAAAATTTTCTAGCAAAAAACGCACATGGTCAACTACATGTGTTGGTGATAATATGAAAATTCTGAGGGAATTTTTATTGCCTTCTGAACATTTTCATAACTCTACTGAGCTTAGCAGCTGAGGAAAGCGAACGTATATTCCTACTCCAACAGTGGGTGAGAATTTGTCACTGCGCCACGAAATTATTTCATCACAAGAGGAAATTTCTGAGGAAATTTTCGGAAAATTTTTAGTAGTTTCTGTACACTTTCATAATTAGTGAGGAAACTATATATTCCTCGAACGCTGTCCTTGAGCGCAGCGCGAAGATTTTTGTAAAAATTATTTTTTTTTCAGGTCTGAAATTACGCACCGTTGATTCGGTTCTTACGGTGTGGCAAAAAGTCCAACGAAATTGGTGCCGACTGGAGCCGATTTTTATGCTGTCCGACGATATACGATCGCAGCTGCCTGAGGACAGTAAAAGATTTGAGGCTTTGGATGCTGAATGGAAGGATCTGATGCTCGATGCGTCGCAGCTCTCGAATGCAGTGGAGATTTGTTGTGCTGAAGGGCGAGAGGAGGTGAGTTTGTGGTATGGGAAAATTTTTAGTAAAAATCAAATTTTTACCGAAAAAAACATTTTTTTCGTATTCTCACCGTAAAAATATGAAAAAATGTTTTTTAGCATTTTTGGTAGGGAAAAATTATACCCATTTTACGTAA